TATATTTATTTATTCTTTCACAAAAACTATTATGTATCTTATAAACAAATGTATAATACATGTAACATGTTACACATAATTAATTTATATAATTATATTATACACAATAGGTGACACATATTAATAATGTGTAACATATGTGTAATGTAACATGTTAATCATGTACAATATATTTTTATATTTCCTTGTAGTACACATCTTCTATTCGATGATAGAGAGAAATTATTAGATTAAAATCAAAATCATTTATTTATAGCATTGTGGCTAACAAGGGAAAATTTTCAACTTAGAAAATTAGCATAAATAACTGATAAATCTATTATCATACGGCAATAAAATTATCCTAACTGAAAGCTTCTATCTCGTTGCATATCGTTGTATATTTCCAATGTTCTAAATATATCATCAATTATCAATCTGTGACTTCAAAAAAAAGATTGTCCATTTAAGGGTTGAAAATGAGATTGCTCTGCTAAATGTGTTTTTTCATTCTACAGTCTGATAGTTACCTCTCAACAGTTTAAATCGGCTATATATCGCCCCCTCAGTTTTCGAAACTTCGTTGATATTCAACAAAAGTTTCTCTCTACCACGCCCGTATCCTTCGCTAAGTACGCGCCATTGATCAATCCCGTCGATCTCGCCTAGATCCTTCAGATCTCCACCAGCTGCGGAGTAAAGGGTTGGCAACCAATCTGTTATGTGGACCAATTCATTGGACACTCTGGCTGCCTTTTGCAATCTAGATGACCACAATGCCGCTACTCCTCTCACACCACCTTCATATAACGTGTATTTTGTCTGTAACAATTTTATTAATCATAACAATTAACATTATTAATTAATTGCTTGTATGTATTTATACATTTTATATAAATTATCAATTATTATACATATTTCATGTATTTATATATGCAATATTATTATAGTGTATGATTATAGTCTATGCAGGAATTGTTCTATCTATACGTACAGAATGATTTCAATTTAATCTATAGATAGAGTTTAGAGAATTTCTTTAGAGAACAGGATAAATAGGAATTTGAAATTTTTTTTAGAATTTTTAATTTATCGCAACAGATGCTAGCAATAATAGCTCTTTACACTTTTAAAAACTCAGTTGTTAATCAGAGAAATCTCTAGAACTATGAGCCAGCAAGAAGTCGGCAAGAACTTTGTACTTCGATTACTTCACTCGTAATGGAAAATAATGAATATTTAATCGGAATAAATTATGAATAGCAAACAGTCAACTGAACTGGCCATTTTATTTATTAGATATCTTATGCTTTTTTGCATAATTTCAAATTTTTTAATTTAGTCTCTGTCTTCTGTGCAAACTTTCACAATTTCACGATGTTTCAAATTGGAACAACTCCATCTTGGTATATAATTGATTATTTTTTGTTTGTCCCGATTATACTGATTATACTGACAATTTAATTAAATGAACGCCTCGTATAATTAACTGTGTTAATTTGTTAATTTTTAAGTGGATGAAAGCACCGACTCAATAATGCAATCGTACCCCTCTCAAAGGATAGTTCGAGCCATAGTTTCGGTATCTACCGATCGACGGTGCTCCGTTATCGGTGAGGAATAGGATCAAGGAATCCCGCAGCATTCCTTTCTCTCCTAACGCGTGAACTATACGCCCAACCGACTCGTCTAGCTTCGACACCATTCCTATAATGAAACAAGCAAGCATTCAATTAGAATTACGCGTGAATTATGAGATCGTAAAACCGTACGAATACTAAGGCTAAGATAACGATAACTCTTGATAAAGTCAATTTCTTGCACATCTAATATCTATAATTTGCATTGCAGATAGCTTGTGAATTCTATTTCTGTTGGAATTATATATAGACAAGGAGTAAAGAGATTTTAAAGTAGCTTCGTAATCTAAATTAGTAATAATTTATAACATAACTTTGAACCCATTGGATATCTCTTGTTCTTGAAAGAAATCGAATTTGAAAATTCTGTGTATACGTTGAACTAAATGTGTTCTTATATATGAATAAAATAAAAATAAAAATATTGAAACTCGTGTCAATCCACACGTTGCAATCAGTATTGCACAATTAATAATTACTTTAATATAATTTATAATTCATAATTTCAAAGATTGTTGAACTTATCCCAATATTTGCTTTTAATTCAAAATTATTTCAATAATGTATGAAGTAATATTAATATTAATCTATTATATATAATAAATTAATATATTAACATTTGGATATATGACTCGGTAATGAATAGAATAATGTATTATATTATTATGTTATATTTGAAATAACTGCGTGCTACTTTACTTGAACATGAAAATGATTTTTGTCTAAATTAACTCATTATTTGGCTATCAAACGAAATCTTTATTTTGTATTTAGATATTTATTCAAATACTTTCTAATCCTGGGAACGATCAATTTGAATTTCATAATAAATAAAGTTATTCGTCGTATATATCGTAATATCTATCTTTTCCTATAAAATAACAAATTGAAGGAATTAATAATAATTTGGTATTTCAAAGCCACGTTTCATTTTATACTAAATAAAATCTACTCAAATTTCAAGAAAATAGAAAACAATAAGAGACAGAAAAAAAATTTAAAAGATAGAAAATATTTATAAAATCATTCTTCATCCCTTTATTACACTTTATATGCATAATAAAAATCTTTAAAATATATACGTATGATAAAAAAATCTCATAACTTTTTCTTATCTACGTACTAGCATATTTGCGACGATTTGGCTCACGAATTTGTATATTCTCTCTGTCGTTGTATTGGTCCATTGGTTGTTCTAAGGGGGCATGAACCGCAAGATGCGAAAGCTGGAGATAGAGAGGCCTCAGGACTTCGTGATTTTCGATGATCCTGATCGCCTCGTCAGTGAACAAATCTGTCGCGTACTCGCGATTAAATCCATGAGCTGGATCGTCTCCACGATGCATGTCATATCCGGTCATATTCTGAAAATGAAACACTGTAAAATTTCTAACTCGGACGATGGAAGGATGATTATTTCATTCAAATAAGAAGATCAATATTATGAAGTGAAATTTGTATATAAAAAATATAAAGTTATATACTATGAAATGTCTAAACTGCCAAAATAAGTAAAATAATTATTAATTATTTATTAAATAACAACGATAATTAATAAGCTTTACTTATATAATAAGTAAAATAGTGTATATATTTTATAATTATAAAATCATATCAATGAAATAATAATATTTAAATTTTAAACTTATATAATAACATTCGTAATTTTCGCAATAATAATATTGTTCAAATTATATATTTTTTCATTACTGGTTTTAATTTCCTTCCTTCAAATCAATTAATTGAATCCTATGACTTTGATCTTGACGTTAGATGCAAGTAAATTCTTAAACTATTCTTTATGCAATTGCAATATGCATCTCACCTGATTCGAATACCTATAATCGTAATAAGAAATATGACTATTGTAAAAGCCAAGGAACGTATCGAAGCCTCGGTGCAATGGCGTGTACTGAAGTGTGTGGTATCCGATATGCCACTTTCCAATTAATTTTGTAGTATATCCTAAGCCTTGTAGATATTCTGGTAAAATTTTTACTTCTAGTGGCAGACCACGTGGCTCACCACCGCGGATCCCATCTCCTTGCATCCCTATAGATCAACAATTTCAAATGTTTCACACTGTTGTGTACTTATAAAATAGCAAAAATATTGTGCAAAAATAGAGTAGAATCTCCCATTATCCGAACAGAACAGATGTTTCATATTCTATATGATTATTGTTACAATTAATTCTATTGATTTATTGTATATTCTATATTTATTCTATATCTTACAATTCATTCTATATTCTATCATGATTCTTACTCTAGAATGATTCTATATGATTATTATTTAGCTAACGATCTACAGGCATTTTAACTCTAATTTTCCATAATTAAATATGACAATATGAAGCGTTTCCCCTTGCTTTTCAAAATGCAAAATCAAAAGTTGAAATATCTCCTGAACTAATGATTCGTCGGTACTCTTCTTTTTTTTATAGAGAACGTCGAGTTGTACTGACTAATGCATAGAAATGTACGATTCGAATGTTTAATTTTTTTTTTTTTTTAAATATCACGTTAAGATAGAAGTACGCTTTTTTCCTTCTTTATCGTTTAATTGTTAAGTCATTCTAAAATAACGATAATAAGAGAAACTGTGTTTCTTGTACATACCAATGCGTATTGGATACAGTCCAGTGAAGAAAGCTATCCTAGATGGTGTGCTTGACGGTAATACGTAGTGCCTATTTAGTATAATACCATTGTATCCGAGTGCGTCGATGTTAGGAGTTGGTATCTGATTCGATCCGTGAAAACCAACGTCGTTCCATCCCTATCAGACGATATAGAGGTACGATCATTGTCTGATAAAATGGCACGATTCCCAAGATGCAAATGAATGCAAATGAAATACGCAAACGATACAAATGTACGAATTATGTAATAAAAATATGACGGAATAATAATAGTAATTGATATGTCGTGTTGGTGAGAAGGGGGGGGGGAGAGAGAGGGGGAGAGATTTTTGTTTTTGCAGTTGCGATGAGTCACAGGCACTAGCATCCTTGTTAGTTGCGGGGGCGTAGGTAATTTTCGAGCTACGATAATTGCCTTAACTAAGGACAATTTTAATTCAAAACGCTTTCGTACTACAGATTAATCGCAGCAAATTAAGCAAAGTAGACAAGCACAAGTAATGTAACGGACGGTTGTACTTTTCTTGATGAATTTTTATATCGATTTATTATCTTTATTCGTGTCTTCTTCTACATTGGTAATAAACATGTTGTATATGCTTTAACTTGGTAAGGAATCGTATTCTATTTTTTAAATCCAATGATAAATGCATTTCCTATTAACTTATCAATGAAATTTGTGCACTCGGGTTATATCTTAAGTATACGTCATTTGTGAATAATAATGTAGTGAATCTATAATGATGTTATGAATAGTTCCTGATGTCATAATAAAGATAAAGTTCAACAATTTTGCATGAATTTTAATACGACTGAATTATATTAATCTTATATTCAAAAAATTATACTATCTTTATATCATCATTGTATTTATATTATACAAAAATTGTATTGGTCTTATATTGGCAAATTAGTCCCTTATTGTCTCTATTTCTAAACTTATAAAATTAACTTAATTGTACTAGAAACAGAAATCAACTAATTATTTTTAATTATGCGATTAAGAGAAATTAATTATTTACCTCTAAGACTACTCTAAGACTCACTACTTTAAGAATGCCAATTATCCAACTATTTTCAAAATTCAGTTGGAAAACAATTGATTTAATTTCGTATTAGTGAAGATGCGAATTATAAAGTATATAACTGTAAAAATTAGTCTTACCAAATCGTCGGCCATAAACACAACAATATGCGGTGCCGTTTCATACAGGCCGAATGCACAGGCAATACATAATACTAAGTGCAGCAAAGACGTACTCATCCATATCGTGAGAAACCGACACATTCTTGATAAGAATTAAACGGGGAAAAAAAAATAAATGATAAAACAACGAAATGAGGATCAAACGAAGACGCGATGGAAAAAAAAAAAA